CAAGGTTTCGCAAAATAATTTTACGCAAAAAAAGTAGGCTTAAAATTTCCAAATGGTCGGTCATGTTAGCAAACTGTGTTGCAGGAATTACAGGTCGGAGCGGTGCCTTCACTTTTTCATTGAGAAATGTTATACCATGTATGCAAATTTCTCCCTGGAATGTCACTAAATAAGTGCCGAATATTGTAACCGATGATGTTTCTTCTTCCCAAACTTCGACTGTTGGGTCGTTTATGATAATTAGGCCACTGTTAACTTCGATAATCGGATCAAGGTTATTGTTGATGGTATTGCATGTCGCCTTATTATTGTTGAATAGTTGTCTCACACATGTCGAATCCGTTTTCATTTTACTGAAACTTGCTGATATCGCTGCCGTGCAGTTTTTAACTGGAATTGTTGAATTGCCACAATCCGCAACAGTATCGGTCTGCAAAATTATTTTGTCATCGTGCGCCACCGGAAAACCCCTATCTAATATAAATTACTACTACTTACTATTAATACTTTTTGTATTCTTGGAAACTTAAGAATAAAGCATATTACATCATCATTTAGAAAAAATTTTAACATAGAATTACTTACAACATCGCTCATCCGACCATTTAAAGTGTACTCAGTGAGCAATATTTTTGAAATTTCGTCTGTGTCCAAAATTATAGGATTTAAAACATTTAATTTATCTAAAACTTTTGATTATTTTCGAACTCTCGACGAGTCATTCAAGGAGGACGATGCGTCGATGGTTAAGAATAGAAAACAAAAAGAAAGATATATTAGCAAAGAACAGCCAAGTTTTGTGTTTAATGTAAAAAGAAACGTTTGTTCTTTATTTTGGCTAATAAATGTGTGTATGTTATACAAAAAAGTACCTTATAGTGATGGTGATGCTGGCCGAAGGACGTCCTGATTCGCTCCCTGCTTCTATGAAAAGTGCCAAAAAAGTGACTAGCAGAATCGCTACTGAGTAAAGTTAACGAAACTATTGCCAGTTGAGTGAAAACTATGAGCGGTTTGTGTCAACAGTTAACTGCCAATAGTTTGTTAAATGCTCACTAGGGTTGGTAAAAAAGAAATTAGGCACTGGCCTAAACATACCGGTCCCCTCGCGGTGAGCAACAAAAATATTTAAAAAAAATCCAAATCCATCGACCACCATAACCATGTATAAATTTATAGCACAATGTTTCCTTAAATTACTGTAAATTAAAGTAAATTTCATTGTTATTCCAATGCACTTTATTTCATCTGTGACCCTTTTTTTGTTCGTATAGATAAGTAAAAAAAATAAAACACAGTATAAAAATCATACAATATAAATTCATTCGTTTTATTAATTAATTAAATCATTACATCAAAAATCGATCTACAAAAAATATTCCTAATACCGGGCCGTACCCGAAAGCACCCAGCCGAAAATGGAGCCCTGCGCGAGAAGCTGCCCAAACATTTGTGGCATCACTTGTTGGGTCATGATGCGGCTATCAACATCTGCGCCGAGTACCAAACCTATCGGCGCCGACTTGTAAAAATTGGGATCTGCGAGCTTTATATGCGTGTACGGAGCTACGATCTCGGAGTCCATCGTGCTTGTCGGGCTTATGCGCATATAGTCGTGCATTACCTTTGCATGCGTGGATATGCGGGCATTTGTACCATGTCTGCCTCGCAATACGAAGAGGCGGCCGCGTTGACACCGACATGAGTCTGCACTAGTTGCAGTTCCCTTGCGAGATCGCGCGCTATTCGCGATGTAGGTGCGCAGGCGTCTATGAGGGCCCTCACAAGATGTAGGCGTCCTCTTGCCTCAATTTTTACCACCGCCGTGGGTGAGTTGGCTGTCGTTGGCAGCAAGGAAGGGGTTAACATGCTGGCTCGATCCGTTAGCCAGGCTCAAAAGGAGCTAGCCCGGTGGAGCTGAAGAGATCTGGTCTCCAGTCTGGTCGGGTAGTGCGCTTGGCGACGGTGATGACGACAATTGCGCGAGCGACGTCCATGTCGCAGAAGGGGACGGAAAGTCCGAGTTTCCGTTTCCTCTCGCGGTGATGGGCGGAAAGGCCGTGTTTCCGCTCCGGATGCAATTAACTCTCCCTCCTCCGGTTCTGGTGGAAGAGGCCTGGTCTCCGTTCCAGAGTCTGAAGCATGTATTGAGAGTTCATCGTCGGAGCTTGAGAGAAGTTGTCCGCTCCATGGACGGTTTTGAGGCACTGCGGAGCGGCGACGGTAATTTTCTCCGAGGTGCAGCATTGTATGGTGCTTTTCATTGCAGCGCCGGTACCGTGCGTCGCTGGAGCAATTCGCTGCACTGTGGTTGACCGCAAGCCAGTTTACGCAGTACTTGCCTATGAGTGCCTCCCGTAAGCGCTCTTCCAGTGTCTTGGCTCGGAAGGTCGAGCAGAGCCACAATGGGTGCTTTCCCTTGCACAGCGTGCAAGAAAGTGGGTACCGGTTTGGGTGTAGCGCCGCAGTCTTCTTTAAGGCAGTGTAGCGAGTCATCTTCCTTAAAATACCATGTTGAAGATTTTTTTTTTATCGTTTGTTTATGCTTATCATCTAAGACTGATTGGGTGGCGAGAAAAAGTGCATAAATTCCTGTGAACGCTATATTAGATTGCATAGTTTGGAGATGGTGTGAAATGCCTTATACTAGCATAGTGTTGTAAAATAATAAAAATTGACTAAAAATATTTTGCTTTAGCATCAAATTTATATAGGATTATCATTTAGATGAGTAAATTAGTCCTATCTATTGATTATACTTTACTCACCCAAAAGGAATTTGTCGGATAATTTGTTATCTTGTTCTTGTTTTATTTATCGTATGTTTCCGACAAAGTGGCCTGCCACCAAAGGAAAAGTTAAGTACAATTTGTTTTGATAATTATTTTCAATTCTTACTTGTTAATAAATAACTCCTTGCTCAGTAAGTTCAAGGGCAATGCATACATGTTTTGCCTCACAGTTTGAAAAAACCAGGTTTAGATTCACTGTTGTAAAATTTTAAGGCAGTGAATTAAAAGCTGACGGCATTGCATCACCGTATGTCATGAATGACATTTCATGTTTTTGGTTATGTGCGCAACATGTGCAGAGACACATTTTCGGCAGCAGAAAGAGTAAGTAAATGAACTTAATTAAATTTGCATATTTATTTAAATATTTTCTTTTTCTTTCAGACTCGTGAGCATGCTCTTCTTGCTTTCACCCTTGGTGTGAAAAAACTGATCGTTGGTGTCCACAAGATGGCTTCGTCTGAACCACCATACAGTGGCTCGTTATGAGGGAATCAAGGAGGAAGTATCCTCATACATCAAGAAGATCGGTTACAACCCAGCTGCTGTTGCATTCGTGGCAATCTCTGGCTAGCATGGTGATAACGTGCTGGAAGCATCAACCAACATGCCATGGTTCAAGGGATGGAAGGTTAAACGTAAGGATGGTAATGCTGAAGGCAAGACTTATCGATGCCCTTTACATCACCGAACATCACCGCTGAAGTTAAGTCCGTCGAAATGCACCACGAAGCTTTGCCAGAGGCTGTTCCCGGTGAAAACGTTGGTTTCAACGTTAAGAACGTTTCCGTGAAGGAATTGCGTCGTGGTTATGTCACTGGTGATTCTAAGGCAAGCCCCCCTAAAGGTGCTACTGATTTCACCGCCCAGGTTATTGTGCTGAACCACCCTGGTCGAATTGCCAACGGCCATATTGTAGTGTTGGATTGCTACACCGCTCACATTGCTTGCAAGTTCGCTGAAATAAATTAAAATTTAGCATAAAATTGTCACTGACGTTAAATAAATTTTTTTGTTTTTTAGCCCACGGAAAAGCTTAGGCGGCGAACAACAAAGAGCACAAAAGGTCTTCAGGGCACGGCAGTCATTGGATCTGCCGGGTGCACGCAATAAGCTTATGGGATTCGGCATACAACTATAAAGAAATGGTTAATCGTCGTTCCGGTAAGACCACCGAAGAGAACCCCAAATTCATCAAATCTGGTGATGCTGCCATCGAGGTAAATACAATTACCATAAGCGGGTGAGTGATTAGTTTTATTGTCATATATTATATTTTATTAGTAGAATAGTAATAACAGTATTAAAGACATTGTGCATCGCAGGTATATTATAAGTAATTTTGTTTGTGTATAGGAAAGTTAGGCTTCCGATGTGGCTAGGGAACTGTTGCGTTGAGTAGGGTGTGCATCCACATCTTTCTCCTCGTAGTGTGGTAGTAAGACTAATTTGGCAAGCGTCTTGTAACTTGGCCTTTTTCCGTGATGATGTCGACTACTCGCACTCGGGTATCAGCGCCTGGATGTATATTGACAATCCTACCCAGTCTCCACTCATTCGGTGGTAAATTGTCTTCCTTTATGACGACAAGCTCACCTGTCTTTAGGTTTGTTTTTGGATGTTTCCACTTTATGCGTTTCTGCATTTCGTTCAGGTATTCGGTTTTCCACCTTATGCAGAAGGATTGACGTAAGGCCTTAAGTTTTTGCCATCTATTTACGATAGAGGTACTGTTCTCATTTATATCCGGTTCTGGTGGGGCCAACAGATGTCCACCGACCAAAAAATGTCCTGGAGTAAGTGGCTCCAAATCAGTAGGTTCGTTTGAGGCTGGGCTCAATGGTCGCGAATTAASRCARGACTCAATTCGGCATAAGAGTGTGTTGAACTCTTCAAGAGTGTATTTGTGCCCAGACGCAATTTTGCGAAAATGACTTTTAAAACTTTTCACACCTGCTTCCTAAAGTCCTCCCATATGAGGAGCTGCAGCAGGTATGAAATGCCATGTAAGAGCTTGGTGACTATACCTGGAGATAACATTGTTGCGAGCATCGGCTATGAAGGCTTTAAGTTGGGACCTTAGGCATCTCGATGCTCCAACGAAGTTTGTACCATTGTCCGAATAAATATTCTTGGGGCAACCTTTTCTAGAAACGAATCTAGTTAGGGCAGCTAAAAATGATTGTGTCAATAGATCGGTAGTGGCCTCTAGGTGGATGGCCCTTGTTGTAAAACAGACAAACAGACAGACATACCCTTTGGATACACGGCATCCTCTTCCACAGAGCTTTTTGCTTCGAACGGACCCGCAAAATCTACCCCCGTATTCGTAAAAGCGCGTGAAAATGTGGATCGTTCGGTCGGAAGTTCACCCATAAGTTGCGTCTGAGCACGTTTTTTGAAGATCGTGCACGTCTTGCAGTTATGGATAATGGATCGTATCAAGTTTTTTACCCTAGGAATCCAATACTGAGCCCGCGATAGCCGTAGCATAAGCTGATTTTCTCCATGCAGAGAGACTTGATGAATAAACTGGATTATTAGACGAGACAATACGCAGTTGTATCGAAGGATAATTGAATGGCGCTCATTATACGACAAATCGAGAGACGCACTGAGACGGCCACCAGTTCTCATAACTTCATTTTTATCGAGGAATGGATTAAGAGAGAGTATTTCACTTTCTACATCAATAAGCTTACCGGATTTCAAGCAATCATATTCTTGACCATATTTCTGCTTCTGCGTAATTATTATCAAACGTCTTGTCGTTGCTTTAATTTCTTCGGAAGAAATTAAGCAAGACTTTTGTTGAAAGGAAGCTTTTGTGTTTGGATGAGTTCTTTGAGAGAATCTCATAACGTATGATAACACTCTCAAAGCTCTTGGCAAATTAGAAAAACGGTCAAGAATGTCGTTAGAATTCCCCTGTATAGTTGTACAAGCATGTACACGTACCTGTTTTTCCTCTATTGTCGTCTCGTAGTCGTTTTGTTGTAATGACCATTTAGATTGATCTTCTTGCAGCCAAGAAGGTCCCTGCCGCCACAAGGTGTTTTCCACCAAATCCTGTGCCAGAAGTCCCCGACTGGCTAAGTCTGCAGGGTTAGACCCTGAATCGACATGATTCCAGTTTGCGTTACCGACCTTTTCTACGATTTTTTTCATTCGATGGGATACAAACGTTGACCATGAGCATGGTGGCTTGCGAATCCATGCGAGAACGATGGTCGAATCCGTCCATAGTTTGAGATTAAGATGTGTCCGCTCCAGGTTGTTGACGACAGATTCAACTGTTTCGGCCAGTAATACGGCGCCGCACAGTTCCAGACGCGGTAAAGATATAGTTTTGACAGGTGCTACGCTGGTTTTTGCCAATAGTAGGCTGACGAAAATTTCGTTGTTTGTCTTTACGCGCAGGTAGACAGTTGCTGCATATGCTTTCTCTGATGCATCGCAGAAACCACGAATGGACACATCGCCCGTTGGCGAAAAGTGGACACATCGTGGAATTTTAATGTTATTTATGTACCTGTGGTTGTCCATGAATGTGTGCCAACGATCCAATGTGGTAGGAGGTACAACCTCGTCCCATTGTGTTCCTTCTAACCAAATGTGTTGCATTATCATTTTGGCTATTACTATAATCGGTGCTAGCCATTATAGTGGGTCAAACAGTTTGGCAATATCTGATAGGATAGCTCTCTTTGTAAAGGATTCTGGGCTGAGTATTGGTTTTGTTTTGAAGTAGAAGAAGTCAGTATGTGCATTCCACCTTATCCCAAGAGCCTTGACATCACTTGTGTCTTCGAAATTTTCTTAATGGGAAACCTGCCGACTCCAATGCTAGTCTTATTTCATTTATAGATTTAATTGCAGCCTCTATAGAGTGTCCACCTGCTAAGACATCATCAACATACATGCATTTCCTTAGTGCGTCTGAGGCTACTGGTAGTGAGCTTTCAACGTCGTCAACTAATTGAAGTAACGTCCATATTGCCAGATAAGGAGCGAAGTTGAACGTTACCGTCTTCAATTCGAAAATATTAGTTTGTTCGGTCGGATAGGTGCGAAAAACGATTCACTGGTACTTCGTTTGATCAGCCTTCACTAGGATTTGGCGATACATCTTCTCAATATCGCTATTGAAGGCATATTTGAATAATCGCCATCGCAGAATTAAGATGATCAGATCTGCCTGAAGAACTGGACCGGGGAGAAGGATGTCATTCAGCGAAGTGCCGTTTGAAGTTGATTGCGATGCATTGAACACCACACGCACTTTTGTAGATATGCTCTCTTCTTTCCTTACGGCATGGTGAGGCAGGGAATAGTTGTCACTAGAGTCGGCCGTTTGATTGGCATGTTTCTTTACCATATGACCCATCTCAACGTATTCCTTTAAAACCCTGTTGTACTCTTTTTGCAGATTTTCATCTTTGGACAACCGATCTTCATTGCGATAATACTGGGAGTACGCAATCTTTAACGAACTACCTAACCTAATGTTGAGCGGATAGTCTTTCTTAAATGGTAGCGATACAACGTATTTCCCGCCTTCATTTCGCCTCGTTGTCTTTTTGTAGAGCTCTCCATAATACCTGTCCTCTTCGCTTAGTTTCCGTTCCTTGGGCATCTCTTCCAATTCCCAGAACGGAGCTAACTGCTTTTCCAGCGATATTTCGTTGTAATATGAGACGCAAGTGTTGGTTGGCTTAATTGTATTGGCACGGCCCGTGACTATCCAACCGAACACGGTCTCTTGCGCAAGAAGCGATCCCAGTACGTTCTTGCGTATGCCATCAAGCATAATCTGTGGATAGACGTCGCCACCGAGTATGACGTCCACGGGTTCATTGACGAAGAACCTTTTGTCCGCCAACGTGAGATCTGGGAAAGCCTGCCGAGTTAGTGCGCTAATGAGGCAAGTCGGCAAGTTTCCTGTTAATTTCGGCAGAACCATCATGTTCGTTGTTATCGATATAAGTAGGTCAATTGGTGACCGCAATTCGACACAACATGATTCCTTTACCTGCGCAGCTACGGTGTTATTGATGCCTGACACCTGGGAATTTATCTTCCTAGCTGGCAAGTTGATTCTGCGCTTCATCCTTGCTGTGATAAAAGAGCACTCTGATCCGGAGTCGATGAGTGCTCTTGCGGCATAAGTAACGCCGCTGTGATTTATGTTGATTTGTGCCGTTCCTAATAAGACACCTTTGTTGCTGTTAGCGAAGCACGACCGTACCTGCGTCGTTTACGTGCCGTTTGATTTTTTAAAGTTGCGTCTCTGTTGCGCTTGCCTGGACGTAGACGGAATCTCGTCCGATGGCGTTGATGAGGTTCTTCGGCTGATAGGCTGCACTGTCCTCACATGTAATAGTGTGTGATGCCTTGCATGGCACGTGCTGCAGTTGAATGCACTGGTGCATTGCGACACCAAATGTCCAAAGCCGAGGCAATTAATGCAGCGATTTTTGCGCTTAGCGAGCTTGATCCTGTCCGCCGGTGGTATGTTTATTTTGTGTGGGTGCACTGACAGGCTTTACAGAATTGGACGATTTCTTGGCACGTTCTATTGCCTCTAAATCACGGTATCTATCCGTAAGGAAGTTATCCAATTCCTTCCACTTTGATGTCTTCGTTTTGTTCTTGACAGACTGTTCCCAGAAGACCAATGTTGCTTGTGGCAGTCTCTTTGAACAAATACGGATTATGATTGGGTCCCAGTTCCCCATGTCAATTTTACTGGCTGTCAGTCAGGAGATGCAGCTGTTGATCTCCCGCTGTAGCCACTTTATAGAGCTTGAGCACTCCTTGTCGATTGAAGGCAAGTCGAGCAGTATGTCGACTTGGATTTCGACTAGTATTTGCTCATTATCATGCATGTCCGTCAAATTTTTCCATGCCATTGCGAAAACTTCATTTGCAAGAGGGCATTTTGACACAATCACCTTAGCCTCCCCTTGTGTCTTTTTGTTGAGGTGGTATAATTTCTCAACCGGTGAAAGACGCTTGCTTTTGATGTATACAGCCGTGAACATATCTCGGAATGTTGGCCATGAAAGGTAGTCCCCTTTAAACATCGATAAATTTGATTATTGTGTGTCTGAAGAACTATAGTAATGTGTGATTGGGAAAAACATGAAATATATTTAAAATTCATTCGATGCGTTAAGTAGTCATATTTGTCCAAAACTGATACATTTCCGTCAATAACTGGTGTATAGTTGGATTTTGTAAGCTTAATAATTTGCTGTCGGATACCTGAGTCCGCAAAATCCCTGAGTGGTAAAATAACTCTGTAAAGTTAAAAAAAAAAAACAAAAAAATTATTACTTACGGTTACTCTTATGAACCTTCCTATTATCTATTAAAAATGTGGATCCTAGATCCTTTTGAATCTTTTTTTCCGTAAAAACTTTTGTCAATTTATTGCCAATTCTTTTATTGATCCTAACATAAACTTTATCTCCTGGCTTGGAAAACTTCGACTATTGTTCCTTGCCAATTCATTATCCTGGGCTTTCGTTAATATTATTTCGATTTTAAGGTCCAAAGGAATGGTAAATTTCAGCTCGATAGGTTTCCATCCAGTTACTGAATTATTGTATTTTGCAGTAGCAAGAACTATCAGTTCATTGGTATCATTTATAGCTTGTTCTAGCTTAGTGCATCTAGCGATTTCAGTTAAGGTGCTATGAAATCTCTTTATCTGCCCTGTTGAGCTGCCAACTATTTTGATAGCTTCGAATTGCGATATAAAACAACGACGATATACTATGTATTTACAAAACTATTTATTAATATGAATATATATAATACAACGAATAGAAAGTTACGTAGCTGGTGGTTTACCAGGTGAAATGCAATTGCGTCTGCAGGTATCCAATATAAAAAGCAAACTATAACTAAGATGCTAGGCTTAGGCAAAGCTAAGCTTAATTGTTCTCACATGTATGTATGTATAAACATATCACAGGATAAATGGAAATGAGGAATTAGAATAACGAGTAATGCTGTGGTAGATATGCAAAATTAGATGTCATTGACTTCAATGTTTGGGTGTGGTTTACGCCACTTCGCTTGTAGAATAGTGAGATATTTTTCACTTCATCGCTTCCAAAATATCTGTTGTATTATATGTAGGTAACCTGCTGCCAGCGATCGAAATGATTGCAGTTAAGATGCATGTGGTTCGGCTCAGGAATAGCGATAAGAGGACAACCAATAAGAAAATGTTTTTGCATCATTACACCAAGATCTTCAGGGTTTTCTGAAAGTGCCACAAGAGGATTAATTACTGATGAGATTTGACATACTAAGGTACGTAATTCTTCAAAACCGAGAAGTGATGAACCAACGGAGCGATAGAAGCGTTGTTTTTTTGTTTTTGCCATTTTTACTGCTGCCTCAGACAGAAAACCAAAATGTGGTGATCGAGGAGGAATAAAACGACAATCTATCCCATTATTAAATCAGTAATCGTCAACTTGGTTGCGATGTTTTCACTAAGAAATAGCTAGCGTAAATTTTTCAGCCCGTTCTGGGCGCCAACAAAATTTGCAGTATTGTGTGACCAAATGCTACTTGGTATGCCACGCTTAAGTGCATCAAGAAAAGAGCATGTTGAAAGATTTTTCACACAGTTCCATCCACACAGCATTTGTGGCGAAGCACATTAATACGCTAACATAGCACCTTTGAGGTGCTTTCTTACGGGTTTCGGGTTTGAAATAAAATGGTCCACAGTAGTCTATGCCCGTAACGATAAAGGGCCGTGATGCGTGGATGCGTTCCTTAGGCAAGTCAGCCATGATGTGCTCAACGAGGCGCGGTTTCGATCTGCAACATATGATACATTTTCGTGGAACACTCGCAATAGTTTTTCTTCCACCTGTAGGCCACAACTGCAAACGAATGAAGGCAAGTAGAAACTGAGGACCTGCGTGATGATACTTTCGATGAAAAGGAGTGATTGTTGATGACGTTAATGGATGATCCTTTGGTAGAATCATTGGATGATGCGTCTCAAAGTCTGATGTTGAGCTCTTTTGGTGTAGCGCTCTTTGATAGGATATCAGCTGAATTCATAGAGGTGGGAACGTAACGCCACTGCATGCCTTCAGTTAGTTGTTGTCTAGCGCAAATTCGATTGGCAAGAAATACGTTGAACTTTGAGGGTTCCTCTCGTAGCCATGAGAGAACCACTGATAAATCCGACCAGCAAAAACAAAAGCAATCAAATATATTCATTTTTCATAATTCAGATAATACTTCTAATTTGGGCAATGTCAGCGTTTTAAGAGAGGCGACACGAGCCTTGGAGCACAACAAGTGAACTTTAATGTCGTCATCCTTAATTGAGCGAATATAAACACAAGCGCCGTATGCTTCCAGGCTGGCATCACAAAATGCATATATTTGAATAGTAGCGCCAGGCTGAAGAACATAGCGCGGAAATGATGTATGTTGACGATCAAGAAGATGGTTACAATATGCTTACCATGCTGTGCGTTATGCATATGGAAAGTGGTAAACTTTCATTCTAATCGAGCTTGTCTCTCCACATCCTTTGTAACAGTATTTTCGTTCTAGTAATTGTGGGACCAATCAGACATAATGGGCGGTAAAAACGTGCTATGATAGACAATACGGAACACTTGAAACTTTTTTTCGATGTTTATATTTAGACAAAAATATGTCTCTCGATGGATTCCAAACAAGTCCGAGAGTTTTGACAATATCGCTGGATTCATCGAAACTAAGGAAACTTTCTCTATCAGCAACTGGGATAGAGAACATTTCGCTGGGAACATCTGAGTTTTTAGAGCACCACCTTCTTAACTGAAAACGACCTTTAGAAAGTAGGTTCGTAGTTTGTTACCTGATTTGTTGTACTGTCTCTACTGAACTTCCTCCGGAGATAAGATCATCTACATAGGAATCGCGAAGAACGATTTCTGAACCCAGCGAATAAGATGAGGATTTATCGAGTACTAGATGCTGATGCATAGTACGTATAGSCAAGAACGCAGCAGGCTTGGTGCCGTATGTGACCGTGTCTAACTTGTATATATGTACGTAATTTTCCTTATGGGGAAGCATATTATCTGGAGGTGTTACGCGAACACAGCGATATGCTTTGCAAATGTCCCCAATGAGTGCAATTGGAAAGGTACGAAAACGAAAAATAATGTTGAAAAGTTTAGGTTGAATGCTAGGACCTGTCAGCAGTATGTCATTTAGTGATAGTCCTGAAGTTGTTTCCGCAAAACCGTCAAAAACAACTCGCAACTCGTTGACGTACTATCATCCTTAGTAACGCAATGATGAGCTAGAAAGTACCTGCACTTGGAAATCATTTCTTCAGAAACTAACGACATATGACCAATGTGCTCATATTCCTTCATGAATGAGCTACATATATTTCGCTTTTAAATTAGTACTTCTAGTAAGTTTGCATTCAATATCCTCGAATCTGCGTCTAGCAGCTAAATTTTAATCTCCAAGTGAACCTAAGCTGCACTTAATGGGTAAGAGAACCGAATACTCGCCCGACGATAGACGTGAGTAATTATTTTTGAAATGTTCCTCACACTCGAGGTATGCGTTAGAAGTTGTGATAATTGGTTCATGAACATGTTCAACTTCCCAAAACCTAACTAACTAATCGGGAACTAATTTATCCAGCTGTGTATCCTTATCAATTCCACTATATGTCGATAGTTGAGGGTTTTGCTGCTAACCACCAGATAAAACCCATCCAAGTCGAGTTTTTTGAAGAACGGGTAACCCAGGTGCCATCTTTATCTGCCCCACACAAATAAGTTCGAAGAAAAGCCCTGCTCCGATGAGCATATCGATGCGTTGTGGTGTATAGAAAGCAGGATCAGCTAGTTGAATATTCGAAGAAACATTCCAATCATTGGCCATAACTGAAGTTCCAGGTTGATTATCACTAATCGTTTGAGCGACAAGAGCAGTAATGTTTGTCGAGTAACCTGAAGTCCGCGACTTTAATACAAGATTGACTGAGTATCCATTACAACTCCAATTCCAGAAACCGAAGCGAATGATTTGGATTCATGCAATTGAAGTTGGATAGCGAAGCGACTGGTGACGAAGTGAATCTGTGAGCCAGAGTACAAAAGTGAGCGACAAGGTACAAAAGTTCCGACAAGATTCTTTACTAAAACGATTGCAGTAGCTAAAAGCACAACATCAGTGGAGATCGGGAAGCAGGCTGCGTTGCAGTCATGGCGATGGCTTGAACAGAGTTTGGTATTAATGGTAATTCAAGACCATTAGTTGATGGTAAACGATTAAAATGTAAAACCGTGTAATGTTTTGAATGACATTTGCGACAAGAACTAGATTTGCAGTCTCCTATCTGATGGCGTTTCTTTAAACAGTTTAGACATAGTAAACATTTGTCAGTTTCTTTCTGGCGAATGTTTTGCGGAAGATTTAAAAACCGTCGGCAATTATAAACCAAATGTTCGACATTTCCACAAATATTTTGAAGCAACAAAGGATTTTTTTATGTGTACTCACGGTTTTTCCGGTTCCGTCAATGCTCGCTTGCCGACGGTACCGTCTGCTTTGTCTACCTCGAAAATCTCCCTGATATCTGGCTGAAAAATAAGACGTTTATTATCAAATTTAATGAGGAGTTTTAATGCCATTTTATAATTAGCCTCATTTATTTCCAACGATCGTATGGTGTCAAGGCAGCACCACTCAAGCAGGAACGCAAATGTTGAAGTTTGTCCACAGCGCTTATATCGCTGTCCTTACCCCCCCAATGAAAAGGAACAATTAGCCTCGGATGAGAGACTCCCCTTTTGATGACGACGATGGCAAACGAAATAAGGACTACGAATTGCGGACATGCACCTGGAATGTCCAGTCCCTTAATTGGGAAGGTGCCGCTGCCCAGCTTGTTAATGTCCTCGTGAAAATAGGAATCAAAATCGTGCTTGGCGACTTTAATGCTAGGGTGGGCAAAGAAGGCATCTTAAGGTACTACGGCCGGTAGATTCAGCCTGCACGACGAAACATCCCCAAATGGGTTGAGGCTGATCGACTTCGCCGGGAACAGAAAAACTAGATTCCAGCAAAAGAAGATTAATCAAGCTGCCTGGCTGTCTCCGAATCGAAAAACCACCAACCAGATCAATCATGTTGTGACGGACGGAAGACACGTCTCCAGTGTTTTAGATGTGCGTGCGCTCCGAGGTCTTAACATGGAGCAGCCAAGATTGGTTTGGACAAAAGCCGAGACACTCCTTTTCCTGAAGTGCTACAATGAGATATAGGATGAGTTCCTGCAGGCGCGGAAGAAAAAGGAAATGAACGAAATTTTTGGTGAAAGCTGTTTAGTGTCTAAGACCCACACCATAAACATTGGGACAGATTCTCAAGAGGCATTGGTTGAGTCAAGTGGTTAGTTAAAATTTGTTCATTACCTATTGCTTATATTGCATTCGCTTTTTATACTTTTAAACAGGAACGCAATCGTTAACAGATTTAACTGTTACTCTGTCTCTGTCTAGGCAGAGCCAGTCTGCTCTAAGCCGTAGCATGTGCAGACCAAATGCAGTGTATCCACAAGAGCCGAACGCAGCGAATCCTGTTCAAAATCCTCGTTATCGTAAAAGCGCTAAAGAACGATATTTTGATCAAAAAATCGAACTAAAAAGAAAAAGTTCAGAAGAAAAGGCGAAGTTTTACGCGAAAATTGAAAATTTTACCACAATCCGTTATGAATAAAAAATATAAAAGCTACTTGATTTCATAACGAATATATATTGTTTTATTTAACGGAAATATATAATCAAGCTTATCATAAAATGAACATCAATGAACATTATGATGTGATCCGGGTTCACCACGATATATGTATGTATATCAATAAATTTTTTATCAGCATCGACAATGGCCTGTGGAACAACACTATAATTACGTTTACGATCAAAATATATTTGTTTGTCTTTTATTGATGCATTGATTTTTATGTGGGTACAATCAATAGCACCAATAACACCTGGTATTTGTTTACTTTGCAAAAACTTGCGAGTTGTGTCTTCCAAAGCATCTCCAGTTGGCCACTTAACAAACTCATGGATTATTAAAATAACCCACGCGACAACCCGACGAACAATTGCACATGCTGTGGACTTCGTTACACCAAACAATACAGCTCGTTGTCTGTAGGTAATTGTATTACATAAATACCATACATGCATGCACATCATTTTTTTAGCAGGAATTTTGGCTTTTCCGAACTTCGTAGCAAAAAGGGTTCGTTCACTTTCTTCATATCTTCCTGCAAAAAATACTCACACAGAAAAGTCTCATAACAAAAACAAAGCATACCTATTAAGTAATCTAAAGTGGTGCTACTCAAGCGAAAGTGAGATTTGAAATCCTCTTCTTTAAAATGACCAATGGTGTCCACAAAATTAGAGCATTTTGGATGCTCTATCTGCTCTTGTTCTGAATCCTCCGAAGACGAACTTGATTCAGCAGCTAAATCAGCCAGGATGTTCATCTTCATCATTTGAATATGTGTACATAGTACCAAGCAACTGGAAAATGCACAAAGTTTAATTTTGTCTTATTTTTAATTTAAAAATTATTACTATTTACCGCATCTTTCATAATATTTCCATTTCGTGCACTTCTATATTTTTCATTTGTTTATATTTTGATCTGTCAAATTGAAGTTTCTCGCTATTGCCAACTACTTTTTTGGGAAAAATCATAGCTATTGTGAATGAAAAAAGCATTTTAACTGGCAATGCCTCTAGTCCATGCTATAAAAGTTTATGACAAGCCAACGTAATTATGTTGGCTAAGTCTTCCATACAAAATAATAATAATTAGTTTGCTGGTCAAATAAAACACACCTTATGGAAAGGAGGAGTTGTAAAAATTTCTGTTCCAAAACGCTCAGTGACTTTTCGTTATCAGCCGTCACATTCCTCGTATTTTCAAAAGAATTATGAACGTTTAATAAAGCCTATTTTACGTCAACAATTGCCCTTGATGCAATTGGAATACCTGTGGCTAATTATGAAAATTTATCTATTCAGGTTAAACAAGAAAAAAAGGTTAACTTCGGCTGTACCGAAGCTAATATACCCTTCACAGGTGCATTTCTTTTAGTAACTATGTGTTTAAGTAAATCTAAAGGCGTAACCGGCCAGTAGTTTTCATTCAAAGGAAAACATTTCACTAATTCTTTTTAGCCAGGTTGTTTGTTAGAAACATTAAGGTTATTTAATAAAGAAAATATATCTTTTAGACGTTTATAGTTATTTCAAATTTCAAGAAGATTTATTATTAACATAAACTTAATGGAAAAAAGTATAATATTTATAAATTAGTACATAAGTACATATCATATATATATTTACTGTTTGTTTTATAAAAAAACACAGAGCAAATATATAGTTATATTTCTGTAATACATATTTATGCTATATAAATTACATTACTCATATCTATGCTTA